TATCGCAGAGGTCACGGGTTCGAATCCCGTTCAAACCTAAACTTTTTCTCAGGATTAATTTCACAGCTGCCTAAGTTGTGGAAATAACTGCGATGATCACTGATGTCTTTATATCTTTAACCGCAGTTCAAATATAAGATCTTTCATATATTCTCTTGCAATATAACCCTTAATTAATCCTATTCCCGCCCTACCTTGGTGTATTTGAATTCTTGATTTCCCTTCAGTTCGTGGCATCCATAAAACGTTATTTTTGCTCCGCTGTGACCTTGACTTACATCTAAACAAGCCTCGTCTTGTCGGAACTCGTCAAGAAACGTGTACTGAAAAGCCTGTCAATAAAGGAAATTACATGGATATCAGCTCGGGTAGCTGGCGAGATTTCACGCGCGAGTGCGTCGCTTCGGCAGCGGAGTCGCGGACGCTAGCGGACTGAGGCTGAGAGGAAAATTCCTACTACTCACCATTCCCCTCGCGACGAATCTCGGCGTTGCCGCTTTCGTTCGAGGCTCCGCCGCTGGAATTGACATCCAAATAATATCATCGAGATAATGAGGACATTGAAAAGTTTTCAAGTTTCTGAACCGGGTACCCATGAAGTAGGAGTTGTTTCGGTTTTGCACTTGCACATAAAATTACTTTAATTTTCGTAATCACTTCTTTGTTACAAATGAAAATTATCAGCTACCTTCGCGTACTTAGAGGACAAACCGGGAGAAATTAGGATTCAAAACCTTACAAAATAATTCATATAGGGCAATATCAATATCTTAATATTCTAAATTGGCTCCGTGCCTTAAGGGAACAAAATGAAACAACCTATTTCTTTATGCTTGAATCTCAATGTAATTTCTTTTGTTAAGTTTATCCCCTTTTAACCTCAGAGCCGAGTCAGAAGTTATTACATTTCTTCCCACTCTCTTTTTATAACAAGTCTTGCATAATTGTATGTATTGCTATTACATCACCTGGTTTCCCATCATGCCATGGCAGGTCACTAGTCCCAGCTCCCCTCCTGCCTTCCTTCCCATGGAATCCAAACAAAGATTTGTACTTGGATTTCGGATCTAGGATAAAGACGTTTGATCTTAAATTAGACGTGAAGGACAGCAGACTACTGAGAACTATTAGTGATAGTTGCTCTCTTCCATCTTTTAGAAGCACTGGTTGAATTCTCGGGGACCTAGAGAGTTGCATCCATACATGCATGCTTGCATGATACTCATATCAAGTAAATGGATCAATTAGGGGTCTGTAACAGAAACGCGTTTAAGACGCGTTTGAGTCCGGATTTAAGTGTGAGACTCAGAACAACACAAGAGACGGGGTGAAGGCGCCGCCCTAACCGCCTGTCAAGAAAAAAGACGACGTTGAAATGTCATTCAGTTAAGGCTGTATGGATATAACTCAACACTGCAATGAGAGTGGGGATTAGAGAGAGGAAAAAAGAATGATCAATTCGCAGCAAAAACAGTGAAGTGACCAAGCTAATACTTTTTACCAGCAATGTAGCTAATTAAATTTGTCACTGAACACAACTTAACAGAGGTTTATTGTACTCTCATACCGGTCCATTGGCCCTAAGGGGTTCATATATTGATCTGACAGTATCATTAGCCACGTTCTCCATGTACCACTTGAAACTCTTGCACTTGAGTCTCTTACGAAGAGCAATTCGATCACTGATATCACCAGGGTCTACATTTCGGAGTTCTGGCTTCTTGTCGTACAGCCATTCTTTGTATTCATCCATCCAGACTTCTGCTACCCGACGGAAGTTTATAAGAGTGGCGTCAGCCTTGGGGTATGAATATGGCACATGATGTCGATAGACATGTCCGACCCGGGAACACGGGATGTTCTCCAGTTGACCGCCACACTGCCAGAGCTGGGAAACCAAAGAAAAAAATCCACTGATAATTGAAATCTACTTGGTTTTGCTCATTTTTTGCTCATTTACTCACAAAGTCAATGAGTTCAGACTTAACATGGTTCTAATTTTAAACTCTGTCCATGAAATTCTCAGAGAAGCCACTGAAATGGAAGCTATTGGCCGTTACTTTGATGTGGTACTGCTTATTACACTGCACAAGGCAGTTCTTCTTGAAGTCTGGGTATGCAACCCTAGTGTGTGACCATTCAAATGAAAGCTATTGAACAGTACTTTCATGTGGTACTGACTATTACGCTGTACAAGGTGATTCTAACTTTAACTCTGCAGATGAAACCCTAGTGTGTGACCATTCAAATGAGAGCTATTGAGCAGTACTTTCATGTGGTACTGTTTATTACGCTGTACAAGGTGGTTCTAACTTTTAAGTCTGTGGATGAAACCCTAGTGTGTGACCATTCAAATGAAAGCTATTGCACCATTCTTTCATGTGGTACCGTTTATCATGCTGTACAAGGGCGATCATTAAGATGAAAGCTACACTGTATTGAGTGTTACAAAATTGTTCTGTTCATTATGCTGTGCAAGAAAGTTCCAACTTTTTAATGTCTATGACCATTCAGATGCGAGCTATAAACACACTCAACAGTAGTTTTATTTAGTTGGTTTTCACTAAATTTGGACATAACATAAATTTTTTTTTAATGTCCTGGAAATGATGAACATTCTAGCAAAACAATACAATGTAACAAGAACTTATTCTCAGAAATGTTACCTTGAAGGACAGTTCATATTGCTCTCCTCCCCATATGAACATCCCTGGATCATATTGCCCCAACTCATTAAAAAATTCGCGGTTGATAGCAAACAGTCCTCCTGCCATTACTGGTGACCTGCAAGAAAAATTCAATCACTGATCAGTTGCTTCAGCTGGTAAGGCAATGTTCTTACCTTTCTCTCTTCATATCTGCTGTCCTACAGTTAGACATTACAAGGCTGGAGGCTAAAGCCCTGGCCAAATGGACTCACAAGTAGACACAAGTTGAGAACTTGGGTCTACTTGCGACTCCTTTTGGCCAGGCCTTGCGTGCCCTTGCTTTGACTTGTGATGACTCGTGCTCACTTTGGTCAAGATCAAATTTGCATGCAAGTCGAAGCAAGTTTTTCACGGATTGAAAAGACAATGAAAGAGATGAATGAGGGATAGACAGATGAATGCCATCTGACCTACTGACTAAACTGCTAACAGACTGACTGACAGACGGTCTACATGTAACCGTCTTTATTTTGTGGCCAGCTCTGTGAGTGGGCAAGATAAACAGAATCCTGCACTGTGATTGGCTACCCTAGCAGGCAAGATCGAGCTATCTTGCCCGCTTGGGACTAAATGCTGTGTCCTGCAAGAGAAATTTCCCTGAAGGCCTTATAGTGAGTCCTTTATTGACCAAGCTTGTTTGGTCTAGATGGCTGGATACTGGCCTCATTCTTTTTTGTGAGTTTATGGACCTTGACTCCATATATCTACATGTAAAGGACAGACTAATAATGTGCAGCTGGCCGTCTGGTGGACAGACTACCACTGAAATGGGTATTACCTAAATACGCCATGGTTTACGATGTTCTCAGTTCCCAACATGTCTTACACATGTAGATGTTTCCAATGAAAAGTTAGATGCCAAAGTAACATTAACATTAAATGGGTAAAGATTAAGTTCTGTCTGACCTGACTTCCTGAGTAGGATCTTTCCTCTTTTTCATCTCCTCAGGACGGACTGGTCTCTCTTTATAATCAAATCTCCAATTAAAAGTTCCTCGGATATAGGGGTCCATGGGCTTGTATTCAAAAGTGTTATGATCAATGAAGTCTATTGTAGGACAAACTGCTGTTCGTCGATCAAGGGCTATCCTTTCCAACAACGGGGGTAGCCAGCCCTGGTTAGCCTCGCAGTGCGCATCAAGAAATAGAACAACCTCTCCAATAGCATTTATAGCACCAATTGTCCGTGCTTTTATCAGTCCCACTCTCTCGTTGGTTCTGACCATTTTTATTTTTCCTAATTTTTTTGTGTAATCTTCTAATTTCTTCTTGAGATGTTCTGCAAGTAAAATTCAAGCATATTCAGTGAATTCAGCAAAATAGAAGTTAAATTCTTAATAAAAATATAACACTGAATTGGTCATGCTGCACACACAAGCTAACAAGCTTACTGTATTAACAATTGAGGTGGCCTAGTGGATTTTTGCCAGCCTTCTCATCCTATCAAAATTGTTGTTATCCATATTGTATATACCTCTTTTTTAAACGCAGTTAAATGCAATTTAACGGAGTTAACAACAAAGAGTGCCTGCGCTCCCATTGTGGTCAGTGGTGTTTTGATATGCACATGCACCAGGACTCCATGTGCTCCTGACTTAGACGTGTGTTGGCAACCTTCACGGTGATAGCATTTACAGTAAGCATTGGTTTGCATGGGAGCACGTCTTCAAGCATTCCCCCTCCCCTCCCTCTCTCTTTCCACTGTTAATTCAGTGTGACGGGTGGCTATCTCGCCTTCTGCATGGGGGTTCATGGCTCGGTTTCCAGGATTTGCCAGCCATAGGAGCGGTCTCCAGCTAGGAGCTGGCTGCCAATAGTGGAAGCTCCTGGATGCCTTGGGCACCCAACCTCCATTTAGCGATGCAGTTGTTAATGTGGCAATTAAAAAGATGATGATAACAACAATGACGATGATGATAAAGTCATTTTTTGTCATCTATGTACAACAAGTACATCATATTATGCTTAATTGTCAATATCATCTCTAGATCCTGAAACAAGACATAAAATTACCCTTATCACTGTAATCGTCCACCATGACTATCTCTTGCAACATGTGTGGGGGTGATCTGTTTATAACGCTGTGAACTGTGCGTAATAAGGTGGACCACCCTTCATTGTGAAACACTATTACAACACTAGCCTTGGGGAGAGTTTGTGGGTATTTGCGCCTCTTGCATCTGAAAGAGACAGAAAGATAATTTACAGCTTTTAAAGACAAACTAAACCCTTTTAACTGACTGTACACAACAACTAACAGTAACTGTATTCACATGGAAATGTTGAGCTGTCAACCATCTATTTTAGCTTTAGCACTTTAGTTCTCCTTAAGGAGTACCTCCTAGCCTTAGCATGAATATACCTTAGGAGGTAGTATGGCCTGGCAATTAGGGCACTGGCCCTAAATAACAAATCGAATGTGGTTTAGTGTGGTCTGTACTCTTATCGACAACGATATGTGCCATCACAGTGGACTCAGGAGGCACAGCCGAGTGAGTCCACAACAAATTTTGACTACTGTGATGACGTGTATCATTGTCGATAAGAGTACAGACCACGCTAAACCACATTGCGACTTGTTTTTCACCGCAATATGAACGTCAAAGAAAATGTTTTTTTCAGAGCCTGAACTGGAAAAGGTATCGCGTGACGCATTGACGCTTATCGACAACAGAAATTAGCCAATCAGATTGCAAGATTCATAGCAATTGTGGTAAAAAAATTAATTTAGTAGAATTCTACTAGACTAAGTACACTAATGCAAATGCTGTGATCTGATTGGCTGAGCTACTCGTATACTATCAGCCATTAGAGTACAGTGGCTGGAGGTCATCCACATAATGGCAAGGTTTTCTGGTTTCTCTAATGTTTTGCGGATGATTTAGAAATATTACGGGATAATATAATTCTGAAGAACACTAAAGAAAGAAAGCTGACCGTTATGCGACTGTAAAACATCAAAACTTCTTAGTGAACCGATGAGCACATGTCCACTGCTGCAAGTTTCCAAAACCAATACAATCTGTGCGATTTTGCTAGAGCGTGAAGTTTAATACTACATTGAGAAATGATTGGAAATTGCTTTTTGAAGGAAATTTAGTTAGAATTCTACCAAAACAATTAGATTATTTACTCTTGATTTCTACCTCATAGAAATCTCAAGCTCAAAATCTAATTGTTATACAGAGGTCCATGGTCCTAAATTGACATGTCCTCCTCCTCCCTACAAGGAGCTACATGATCCAGGTACTATAGATGACGAATGCTTCACTGGTCCTGAATTCAACTCTTCTGATGATACTTTATTATCACCAACGGATCAGCCTTAGGATTCTCAACTATTACTGCCAAACGCCCAAAATCCCAACCTGCATGGCCAGAGAGGGTTCCTGTCTGTTTGCTGTCAGGCCGCTTACCCTTGACAAGCACGAACTACCGGAGGCAGATACCTCCCGCTGGTATAGCATTTTAAGCACTCAATGAGAGAGCTCTCAGTAGCTGACAAATCCAAACAACATACAAAAGGAACACCACTCAATTGGACTATGAAATCAGGACAGGTTGTAAAACAAGATCACCTCATGCAATTTAAGTGTACGTTTTAGATCCTGCGAGTGCAACCCACAATTCCATCATAAACAGGGTTTGTCCTTTACTTCCTGTTATCGGAAAGTGGATGCAGAAAATGTGCATAAAGGACAAGTTGAAGCAAGCATGCTGTACAACCATAGATTTGCCTGAAACATCTCACTTTAAATTCTATTCTATCTTAAGAATACAGTTCAACATCACTTCAGTGAAACCTGTATTAAGCGGACACTCTTGGGACCCTCACTAGTGTCTGCTTTATACAGGGTGTCCACTCTAAGCAGGTTCTAACACATTGTGCAATAATAGTTAATTATTAACCCTTTTGTAACTCAGTGTAACACAGTGTATGATCAAAGACTGCTCATAGCACAATGTCCAGTCAGTCAATGCATCAATCTGAAATAATCCACTTAGCTTTGAAACCATATCACTGAACAATGTTAAAGGAGTCTATGCTGAGCGTTTAGAAGTAGAAAGCCCTTGAAGTGTCCACTTGTTGCAGGTTTTGTGCAACAAAATGACTTAATATTACTGTCCTTGTCTACTTAACAGAGGTGCTCACTGAATGCAGGTTTATTTACAGTAAATTTAGGAGGAAAATTTTGGGACTCAAGCTGGTGTCCACTTTATAGAGGGTGTCCGCTTTATGTGGGGTCCACCCAATACATGTTTCATTGTATCTTGAACTAAGCTATCTTGAATACCCACTTTCTCGAACTCAGTAATGTTTTTTGTTTCACTAAGAGCTCCAGAGAGAGATTCAACTGCACTTCCTTAAGAAATACAAATAGACTACAGCAATGCCAGCTAAATAATTTATGATTCATGACTATTTGATGGGATTATGCTGTGTGATATCTGATAGAAGCAAAACAATGACATCCATACCATAATAGACATAATAGTTAATTCCCAAAAGAAAATCATGTGACTCTTTCAGATCAAAAAATCAATAGATATGTCTGGCATGTGCAATTGAAAAAATGGAGCAATAAGGGAGATGTTAAAAATTTTAAAACTCTGAAAGTATCTTTTTTTCTTTATGACGGTACAAAATTCCATGTTTCTCATTAATATTTCAAAAGTTCCGACCTAAATATCAAACAATGAGATGATCCCAGAAGAAAACAAAATACTGAGAAAGTCCTTAATTTATACTTACGCTGAATGTCTGGTATCTTTGATGGAACGATCCAAAGAAATCTGATCGCTGACAAATTGATTGAAGCCATATTCTGAATAAGCTCTGCTTTTCTTTTGTTCGTTTTCTGGCTCCGTTACGACAGGCTCCCCGTTTGAACCTGGTCCGCCTGGAATGATTTTATCCTTCTCCGGCGTCCAAAACTCCTCAATGCTTATCATGTCGCCGAGTTTAGGGTGCGAGTCTGCCACGTGGATCGGATCCAGTTCGTATTTTGAACAGCCACTGAAACCGCAGTTTGCGAACAAATACACAACCGCACAGGTGACTAAAATTGCCAAACATTTGCAAGTTCTTTTCAACTTGAATCGCATGACCGAGGTGTAAAGCAAAGGTTTCCTTTCGGCCTAAGACAGTAAAATGCAACGACACAATAAGCTGCAGCTTTACCAATTAAAAAATTCAGATTTCTCCAGAAGAATTCGGTAAAATGGTTTGTCTGCTGTCTCTCAAATGCCGAATTCAGCAATCCATGGCATCTTTGAAGAATTAACTGCAGTTCATCAGTGAAATCCTTGTACATCCACAAGCGCTTATTGCAACTGTAGCTAGCAACTAACGTAGCCCAAGAGATCACTTGAAACCAAGGAAGTTACACCAGCTTGAATGCTTCAGGTCAACTCGCTATTTACACCGGTAGAAGGGCCTTTGTGCTTCCACCACAACAGAAACCGCAAATGCAAGAATGATAGGACGACCAATCGAGATTTGTTAAGCAATCCCACATCTAGGTTTTGAGCGTAATCAAATCAAGTTGACGACATAAATATTCACTACTTGAGAAAGACTCGATGAACTGCCGGGAAAATGAACTGCAATTGAATCACGCGAAATTCCTTGACCAAATAAATTTTCCTGATGCATTTGTTGGCATCTTCCAGCTCCGCTTTTCCTCTAAAGGTCCTCTGGTTGCTTATTTAAAAGTACTTTCGTAGAATTTCCAGAAAAATAGAGCAGCAAGGAAAAGAAATAACTAAAATATTTGAAACAGCTCGTACCTCCTCGCACCTATCCACGTACGTATATTTGGCCAGCAGTGCTTACCTTTCAAGGAAGGTCTTCATATAATGGACATGAAGTTGATCAGAAAAACTTCCGACTCAAGAGCTCAATCAATTTATTTTTCACTTCGTGCAACTTTTTACAATGGCCGACCAACCTTTATCGCTTTACATTGATCCGTAACATATTCTGAATATTTTGCAAATGATCGAAATTTTTAGCAAGATTTCCGCTTATATTCTCACGTCAACGGATTCTCTTTTTCCCGCTCAATCTCTCCACGCTCTCTTTCCGAAAAGTTTTCGCACCCGGAAAGCCATAGCAAAATCTCAAACCTTATGATTACAGAGCTGTTTTATAAACATATTCTTAGTATGAACCAAGGTTCCCTCCATACAAGAAGTTTCAGTCGCATACACTTCTCTGTTTTTAGATACAGATCAAAATGCCTTTGCGGGCCGAAAAAGTTTCTGGGGTTTTCGAAAAACGGGCCCTCTGGGCCGGAAATAAGAGAGAGATCGAAATAGTATGAAAATATTGTATGAAATAGTATGAAAAACGAGGATCCGTAATTTACAGTACGGACCGAGAAAACGAGGTTAGTAAGATTTTTATTATATCTCTACTGTGTGTCCACGCAGAACGGCGTGAAATTTCTGACGCACCTGACTCTGAAGTCGTTAGCAAGTTTTAATACACAATTTCAGAAGTAAAAGAAAGTTTTAAACTTTTACTTGCTAAAAAAGTTAAGAACACTTGACGAAACGTTTTGGCAACAAAAACAGCTATAAATTTTAGCGTTTTAGCGGGCAGTACAGTAGAATTGACTAATCACCTCGCGCGTAGTAACTGAGAGATATAACAATGGACGGTAAGCCATGCAATTCATCAGTGATACTCTGACGGATCGAATACTATCTATCGGATCTGATCTCTCTATCAAGTGACGTTAGAATATTGGTGAATCATTGGTGAATAAGTTTTGGATATCTCCATGGCATAATAGGTTACCCTAGCAACAGTTCAACCTGTTAAAAACACCCTTAATTCAGTTAGCTTTAAGCGCTTACAACTCAAAAACGGCCTTCTGAGACATTTCAAGCAACTTTTCGAGAAATTTCGAACAACTTGTGGACAGCACAATCTATACAATAACGTCATTTA